AGGCTGTTTGCTGCAAGGAGATAAGTCAATGACTATAAATGCCTATAGAATGTTCAAATTATTAGACTTATTTTTTAAAGACTGCTTTATTATTATTCTAGACAACTTAATAAAATGAAGCCTTTTAAAATAAATGCTTGATCTGAAGAGGCCCAGTGCTATTGTTTTAAAAAGTGCTATTCTTTTAAATAGCAGGGAATAACTATACTTCCAGAAAGCACATAAATTTTAACAGCATCTGTACAAGTATAGTCTGAAATATAACACGACAAACAATGTATATTGTCTGTACTGTTTGCTGTTTGTTGCAAGGAGGCAAATTGCTGGGAAACAGAGGGAAATGTTTTTTCCCTTGTTTTTCTCCCCAAAAGCTAGGTGTGTCTTAGACTTCAGAACGTCTTATACTCCGAAAAATACAATACATTGATAAGCTTCTGGTTGCAATTCAGGATGTTCATTTCGATCTTTAAACCTTATTATAGCTTATATGTATAGAACAGTGGAAGGTGTGTTTATGGGGAATGCTTCTAAGAGGAGCTTTCTCTGTCATGGACTTCTTCTCTGGGAATAAGTATGGCCTATCTATATTTATATTTCAGAAGGCAGTCAAGACCTGGCTGTTTTGTTGACTGTTGGGGATGTAATGGGACAGAGGTGGGTTGCTGCGGGTACGACCCAGTACGGCTGTACTGGTAGTTGCCCGAAGCAGCTGAGAGCATACCGATACAGTGGCTTTTTTGACACACCCGCCCACCTGCACTCTGTACCTGTTTTTATGGCAAATGGCAAAGTGTGCACGTGCGCACAGCATGTGGTGCCTGCATGAGCCCCAAAAATCAGTTGGTTGTCGCAGGGATGATGGATTGCGCACGTGTGCCCAGCGCAAGGCAGGCACAAACATGTGATCAGCGTACTGGTAGAGACAATAAGAGCAACCCACCACTGGAACGGGATAAAGCTCTGCATGTTCCTGAAGTTGGTTAGAAGGTGCAGAGTGGATTAGATTTATTGTATTTGAAATATGTATTGTAGTTTTAAATGTAATCACTGTAATAGGGAATTGTTAGTCCCTTAGATTTTTTTAGGTTAAACAGACATATAAATTTAAGAATAATTAAAAATATAGTGAACGTATGCCACATGGACACATTATTGATAAATATAAATACATGATACATCCATGTCAAATTGAGTGCTAACCATATTCACACTTTAACTGGCTTCAATTAACCTCTTTGTATTACAGAGTTGACTTTAATTCTATTGCATTTGAGTTAGGGTAGAACAAATCATATCTACGGTTTGAGTTTTTTGTGAAAAAGGGTTCTGAATAGTTGAAGCTTCCATCACATAATAGTCTCTGGTTTGTTATAATTGTATTAGTACAAACAAATTCTTGCAGTTTCAGCCGTGAAAACTTTGCATTGTTTCCTTGAGTGACACATCTTCCCTTGAGTAAACCTTGGCTTTAATTTAGATGATTATGAGTCCTTGATAATTTTGAGGTAAGGATGTTTTTATGTACCTGTCTGACTCTTCTTTCAGATAGGTGTATTCCTTTTTACAATAACTTTCATTACCAAAAAAGATACAGAATGGCTAATCATTTCTTTAAGAAAGACATATAAACAAATACAATAGTTGTTTGACTTTGAATGGATTACTTTGTGTAGAATAAGAGTCTTTTAAGATATTAAAAATATCAGGACATTGGATTAAATCAGATTATAATTTAAAGATAGGATAGAAATTTCTGGATTTTATTCTACACTTTAAATGAAAATAGATTTCTGGACTCCTACCTACAAGAAAAGTTAAAATAAGCTAAAAACTACTTTGAGTTTTATTGGTTCACATGGCTAATGTATCGGTTTAGAAGCAGATTCCAATAACCTGAATTTGTGAAATAGATAACTGTTTCTGTAATAAGATTAGTTCTGAAGTGCTAACTTACTTCTGTGAGTATATGTCTCTTTACACTTTTCTTATTAGAAGTCCAAATTGCCTATAGTACTTATATTAAGGAAATTCAGAATAAGTGAAAATGACTGTAGGTTTATGATACTATTGAGACCAAACCTGGGTTGAAGCTTAGCTGCAAAGAACATCAACTGTTGCTTTTATTTTGTGGGAAGTCTAGGGTGGTGATAATTGGGTTGTGCTATGGGAATGGGGGAATTGGATGCTAAAAATATGGCTTTCTGGCACTAACGCAAATCCCGTCTGTATTTAAATGCTGTCCCCAGGTTACAACTATGGCTATATCTGCGTGGAGTTTTCCCTCTTGGAAGAGGCCATCGCCTGCATGGAAGCCAACCAGGTTGCTTTACACTTCGGTTGAAAATGCTGCTAGAAGAACATTTTTGTGGGGTGGACAACACTTAGCTTTTTTTTTTTTAAAAGCAAAATTCAGATAAAGGCTTTTTATTCCAAAATGTACATTATGGCAGCTAATATCCTCAGATCTCCCAAAAATACAAGCAGGTTTAAACTTTCACTACAAAATCTCATAATTTTCCTGAATTATCTACACTCACATGTTCATGCTTTGCAGGCGTGATAGATTTGAAGTGTGGTACTTAAGGAAAATGCTCCCAGTTCTGATGGTTGTCCTTGTGAGTTTGCGTATCTAGTGGATTTCAAGCATTCAATCTAAGGTGTTTTTACTTTCTTGACTGCGTCACAGCAAACTGACACTCTTGACTATACTGCAAACTCCCTTTTCTGTAAGGAACATTATTATATGCTTGAATATATACTTGCACCTGTCTTGGTTTTATGCTAGACATTAATACTCAGTTTTGAGTGAAAAATCTTGTTTGTATGTTCGCTCCATCTATTTATGTGATTTTATCTGGTGGAACTATATTGTATGCCTGCATTCATATTAATTGTGTGCAAGTTGAAGCTACTCAAAAGAGGTTTAGTATACTGCAAATGTACCTGGTTTATCTGAATATCTTTAATGTTCTTTAAAAAGAAAGAAAGAAAAAGAAATAGGAAACTGCCCATATATACTCAGTGATAGTGTGGGCTAGATTCTTATGTTTGCAATTTTATAAGTAAAAATCATAAATTAAGATATTTGAGATAATTAAGATAAGCCAGTCTTTTGAAAATGAGCCCAGTAGTTTTCACATATAGAAACTCTTTATGAACATCATCTAATTTTTTATGTTGTTTCAGGTAGGCCCATTTTTGAATTTATAACATATCTAATGAAATTCATATTAGTCAGAAATGGTGCATTTTTAAACAAATTAAATCCATGTTAATATTAATGTAAGTTAATATATATTAACATAATATTAATATTATGTCAGATTCATAATTGAGTCAAGTGTGGCTGAGATAAATCAGACCAGCTTTTCATTGTCAAAGTGTCTTTTTGGCAACACATACCTCAGTTTTATCATTGTCCACATGGAAACTTCAACTGCAAAAAAATCATAAAATAATTAAGCATTGCGTTGCTAAATATTTTTATCCCATTTTAACATAATTCTTGCCTATATTGCTCGAATTATCAATATTAAAATAGAATTTTAAATTTGGAAGTTTTAAAAAAGGCAATATTATGAGGTTGCTGTCCCTGTAGATTATGAACAGCTAGATTTTCCAGTGGGCATATTATTTTTCTTCTACATTTATTGTAATATATAGTTCATCCCCAGTAGATTTAAAAGCAAAGTTGTATTTAAGATTCATTTCAAATCATTAAACTAAATTAAATTAAAATGATAAGAGAACCATCCTCCTTTTTACATCTTCTCCATATGTAAAAGTTCTGAAGCAGTTTGAACAGAAGCTTAACACTGAAATTCTAAGCTTCCTTTATCTTTGTAAAAGAAGTGGAATATTAATTTCACTGAATTTAAATGAGTTTTTGTTTTTTTTAATGTGCATGTTATGAATCTGGACAATAGCTTGAACTAGTCCCTTAGGTTTCTTGGCAAGATTTTCAAGACTGATTTGTTATTGCCTTCTTCCGACTGCTGAGAGAGAGTGCTTAGCCCTCAGTTACCTCTCTGGCTTCATGCCTAATAATGGACTAGAGCTCACAGTCGTCCCAATTTTTTACCCAGTGCCTTAACCATTACAGCAAATTGGCTGTTTAAATGGTGGGAAATACAAAATAGTTGTATAATGTACTTTCAGTTGATCATCAGGCAATTGCCTATGAATCCTTAAAATGTGATGTTGTTGTTGTTGTTGATTGCGAAGTTGTGTCTGATCCATCGTAACCCCATGGACAACGTTCTTCCAGGCCTTCCTGTCCTCTACTATCCTCTGGAGTCCATTTAAGCTCCCCGCCAACTGCTTCAGTGACTTCCATCCAGCCACCTCATTCTCTGTCATTCCATTCTTCTTTTGCCGTCAATCTTTCCAGCATTAGGCCTTTCTCCAGGGAGTCCTTCTGTGATATAAATACCAGCAAAGAAAATACTGCCTTATGTTTAATATGACTAGTGTTTTGTAAACGTTTTACTGATAAAAGCCAACCACAAAATTTTGTGTTCAGTACCCATTTTTATCACCGAACTGCCAAAAAATGGAAGCAACCTCTTCCCTCATTCTCTTTCTAGTTTATGATATATCATACTTCATTTTAGGTAACCTGAAAGTATTTCTACAGTCCACAGCTTATGATTAGGTGGTTTTGGAGCCATAATTAATTCAAACAATAACTTTTGTTGCTCAGTTTATTGATGTTGGACAATTCAGTTTTAGGTGACTTCTAAAAACATTGAACTTAGTGAAGGATATTGTTCAGTTCTGTAAGGAAAATTAAGAAAACTTTAAAAGATAATTGAGTTTTTATTCTATTCAACTGGCCTAAACCAGTTGTTATTAATAATATTTATTGATATGTGAGTTCTTTTCAATTGACTAGCCTAATAATAGCCTGTTGAGCTTCCTTTTGCGAGTGAAAAAACATACCCATCTGTTTCCAATAACTAACTCAGAGATGGGGTGGAGGGATAAGGGAATGAATATTTCAACTAAGTGCATTTTTTGGTACTATATTACCATTAAATTTTGTGAAGTTTTGATTATTAACTCAGATTGACCAGGTCCATCTTTATTTTGTTCAGTAACCTTGTAGTGATGACTGATGTGTGTGTGTGAGAGAGAGGGGGGGGAGGGCGGGGAGAGATATTATGTGCCATCAAATCGTTTTCAACTCTTACTGACCACATAGATTTTCTCCATGAATATATGAATGTTTTAGATTCCTGGCGATTTCAATCTGTATATCAATCTTCTATGCCCAATTTTTACTATAAACTTTTATAATATAAAATTTTCTGGCAGTTTGGTCTGTTTTAGGTGATTGGAATAAAACTGAACGTTGAAATTTCCCCTTGGCATTTTAGAAACATTGTTTGGCTACATTAACAAAGGCAACAATGAAGGAAAGGCAAAACCTAAATTTATGCTCAATTACTGTTACACTGAATAGAGGGAATTATTTGAAATTTAGGCTTTGGTATTTGCGATAGTATAATCATTTGTTGCAGAGTGATGAAGCAAACAATGCAAGTAGTATTTCTGCCTTTATTGTTATACATACGTTATGTTCAACCAAACTTCCTGAGTATCCTGGGTTCCTTTTAAGGATTTGCACAAAGTTGTCATTGGATAGCTTGGTTTTAAGTTGACTGTTGTTTGGTGTGTGTGTGTGTGTGTGTGTGTGTGTGTGTGTTTCCATATTAGTATGTTTGCAAGATACCAGTTTTTAAAATTCATTACTGAGACAAAGTACAAAAATCTTGTATGAATCAATATGTATTAAGTGAAATTCATGTTGCATTATCACCTTTAGGATCTAACTCTTTCATTTTTCTGCTAAATAACAGCCCTGTAAATGAAATCCTTGGTATTATTGAATGCTCATTTTTTTTCTGAAGGCATTCAGTTCTTTCATGTGATTTTTTTTAATCTTTAAGAAAAAAAATCTGAATTTTAAAAATATGACCTAGGCAAGTCATTGATATATTTTTGTTAAGACAGTGGATGGAAACATAAGACTTAAAAAGCTAACTAGTTGTTTATTCCTTTTGTGTACATGTCCTCTACTAAAAGATCCTGCCTATTATGATCTTGAGCCATGATGATTGTAAAGCATGTCATCAGGTGATCAACCTGATATTAAAACCTCTTTTTGTGGCAGTTGTTAAGTGAATCACCATGGTCATTAAGGGAATCTAAAGTCAGCAATTTTTTTTTAATTTTATTAGTTTTATTACATGCAAACACACACACACACAAAACATCATCTGTCATTACGTCTTGCAGGGAGCGTATCCATTGGTCACAAATACATTTCGAGCATTCTGTCCATAATCACATATATTCCATTCAGTCTAAATTGTACATGTTAAAAATTTATATATGTTACTATCACCATATCACAGTTTTCATTTAGTTAAGATTTCAAAAACACAGCCACCTGTTGGCATTTTTTCCCCTTCCCCCAGATCCAGTCAATATGCCATATCGCTATATCCTAATAACATGTTCTAAAAATAAAAACATAAAAAAGAAATAAAGAAGAAATCAAGTCAATTAGTAGGACATCTTATATTTCCTCTCTCTAACATATCTTTGTTACTATTATAGTTAACTAAGGGATTATTTACATTTTTCTCTCCTCTTCTCTCCACAAACGCAAAAGGCAACAATCTCTAAACAACAATCTATTAGTATGTGTTAACAAAATGACCATTTAAAATCTAAGACAATATAAAGAGAAAAGAAAAAAATATTGACATTTCTAATTAATAATCACCAAAGTATATGTTAACCTTCCCTTTTGTTTTTATAGTTGAAAGACAGGGAGAAAAAAAAACAGTTGTTTGCCATTTCTACTCCAAATTAAAATTTCTAATTTTAAACATTACTAAACATTCAATAATAATCTATAAGAGTCTACAAATTACTAACATCCCTAAAAAATTAACTAATTTTTATCATCA